TCTTTTACTATAGATTGCATACATAAGTAATTTTAAGGACCGTGGCACTTATCACGCTGCGCTGAACATGCAACGCTTGCTTAAAAAGGAGAAGGCTTCCAGCGCTTTGCTAAAACGAGACGGCGGTGGCACCTGCCCATCGCCTTGCGTTCGACACCTTATCACCTCTGAGAGAGGCGCGCACACCCGTCTCAGAGCCACGCGCTTTGTTTTTGAAGAAAACTGCCAGATGGCACTCATGTCTCACGTGTGACGTGATTTGATGCGCTCGTTCGCCTCCGCTGCATGCTCGAGGCACTCTAACGCAGTGCCTCCAGAATATCATATGCCAACTTTCTTGCGCAGAACATCAAATAAATGTTTTGTTCACTCTCTCCACAAGCAAGACTATCGTCTTTCGACAACATTTGCAGAATAAGTGCAGATACGGGGCCAATTTTTTGTGTAAGATGTCTTCGTTTTTTAATTTCCGTATTTCTTTTACCAGAATTCTGCAGGGGTTTCACACTAACACCAGCCACATGAATACACTTACAGCCACATAGCGACAATGAAGGGCGAGTATGGCCTAAACATCTTGTGCACAATGGTTATCGGTCGAATCCATCAGTTAAATAAGCAGCATAACATGTTTTCTGATTTGTAACTTCATACACTGTGGTGCGATGTGGTATAGAAATAATTTATTTCTTTGCTGAACAATACCACAGATATTTACTGTGATGTACAACTTCGAAATCAACATCCCCAACGAATGCATATATACGAGGGTGATTTAAAAAGTAAGGGCCGTTTTGCTAGTACTAAATTATATACGCGTCATAATCGAGTTTACTTGTGTAGGGTCAATATAGTGTATTCTTGAGCACTGGCTTTCGTAAGTGATTTCTCTTGCGTGGTAGTCATCTGCTTGACACGCAACAGAGATGTAACGGATGACTATACTGGTTGCCCCTTCAGTTTGAAGTGCAAGCTGTTTCTAATTTTCACTGATAGATATGTCATCGGGTTCTTAGTTACATGGTAAGTTGTGCCTAGTACACGGACATACAGTCATGAGCCTTCAGTACTGCACAAAAGAACGCACTATTTGCACGATAATAGGCAGAATGGCACGCTCAGCACCAAGACCAACGAAACTGTTCAACAAACCGAGAATCACAACTAGATCGATGACTAACAGTTTTTTGTCTGTTCGATTGTTTTATTTTTGTTGATCGCTCTAAAATTTATACCGTTCTAACTCAAAAGCTCGGAATTGGAAGGGAATCAGACCTACTCCGTTCATGACAAGGCTAACCTTGCAAAGTAGCAGACACCCGATGCTTTCCAACACATTTTAGAGCATGCGGGCTGATACAAAACAGGTGCCTACCACAAGCAATTATGAGTCGATTTGTAACTGAGAAGCGCTGTATTTGCTTCATCACCTCACATTCAAATAGAGTGTACATGCACACCGGAGTGTTCTTTCACTGCTTTCGACGGGTATTCTATGAACCCATTGAGTTGTCGCTCTGAGGAATTTCACTGAGGCTGAAGACAAACGTAAGCAATAGATAGCGAACCATTCATGGTACTTGATGTATTAAAACTTCGCTGATAACAACAAGAGTCCCTTGTGCGTTGTATTGCTCATTTTCTAGCGTTGAAAGTGAGAAAGTTGTACGCCTTGGGTGCGCTTTTGTTCAGATGTGGTGCTTTATCTGAGCACTTATTGCATGCTGCTTTCCGCTTCCTTTTGTTTCACTGGCTTGCTTCTGGCAAACTCCAGTGAAACGTCAGCGACGCAGGCTGCATAGCACCCGATATCTTGTTTGCTAAGCTGTGGAGTTTTCAGAAACTGTGCTCTTGTCAGGCCAGCGCTAACAAGCAAACCCTATTTGCATCGCTCGGTTTACTTATCGTTTGTCTTCTAGAAATGCCAAAGACACATTCACAAGTGAACATCAACTGCCTGTTTTGCTGCTCAATATCTTCATGCAGTTAATGCTCAGTAAATACGTAGGAATAACAATCAAAGTGAGAGATAAAAACAAGATAACCTTCGGCTTTCCCTTCCCACATCCCACATTGTAAAAATACATTTAAACATCAAAACGCATAGGAAATGGAGATAATCATTCATTTCTGACGAAATTATTCTAAACACAACCGCAATGCCTAATCTACATTGTTTGTTGTCGAAGCAGGAATAATTTTTTTGCAGCTACTAGTCTCAGCTACTAAGTCTCGTTGAGTGAACTATAGACGCTACATTGTAGGGCCACACTCAATTGGGTGCGGGTAAGCCCCAGACATATGCTTACCGGATAATGAAAATATTTTTAGGTGGCGGAATTTAAACTGCCTGCAACTGGTTGCGAAAACCGACGTTATAACCACTACTTCAGTGTCAAAAGTCCTCAAGTCCACACCAAACCCCTAAACAATGCTCTGCGTCACGCATGTGAAGAAGCTGTGCTTTTTAAGCAATCAATGATTATTCCCCAACCTTGCTTCACCTGCAATGAATTCTCAGTTGTTTTCTTCCTACCAGTGAGCACGTTAAGGTGCTTCGCGCGTTTAAGAACGCTGAGGAACGTCATTTTACCGTAACAAATGACTACAGTTGGTTTCTGCTAAAACATTTTTTTCGTCATTTCATCACCGAAATCGTCCCAATTCAGATTACTGATTTGCATAATTTATATTGGTTCGTAGCTCGAAGACTTTTATACCATCGACATCTTGTCTTTTCGGCAAGCTTTCATTGAGTCGATGTCGTGCAGAGGCGATCATGGTTTCCATTAAAAGCGCTACACCTTTATTAATATGCATTAAAGGTGGAAATGCATAAGAGAGCATTAAATGTGTGCCAAAAAGCTGCCCAAAGGCACTGTCAATGTCTCCACCGAGAGAGAGGAATATGCAGCAGTACGCATATGTTATCTCATTAGTTCATGATAGAAGATCTCTTGTCAAGAGTTATGTATCAGATTCTCTACAAAACAGTTCCTACAACCATTTCTGTGGCAACGTTGATGCAGGGATAGTTATACAAGCCGACACGAAATTTGCATTGCGTAACCTGATGGTGGATTTTGTATCTTACATACGTCACCACAAAATTAATATTTCAAGCTTTTGTTTTATTATCCAATACATTTACTCCAGAGCAAGCAGCATCCAGCCAGCATAAATCAAGATTCAAATTAATGTATTTCACCAAAACTTGCAATCTTCTCACATCTGGAGGTAGCGTGATAAATTGAAAATATGCAGTCACAACTACACACAATTATGCAGACGCACAAGACAGCGTTCTCCTCAGAGTCATTATGACGAGCCAGTATATTGCAAGAAGCCACGTGGCATTTCTACGGAGTTTTGAGGCTTGAGGTATTGTCGGTGGCGTATTGTTGTTTCGTCTGACAGAGGTTGATCGTCTAACTGGTTGAGACGATTAACCTCTGTTGCACTATGGGGAGATTGTGCGGCTGTGTGCTCTTTAGACCCTCTAGACCCCAACCACAGCGCAAGGTATACCACATCGGACACTTACTTGTGGTTTACATTCGTGCCTTCCTCTTCTCTTTTTTTCCTTCTTAGGTTACACGTTCGTAACTACATACAAGTGTTGTTCCTTCGCGATCGCTTCGCGCTGAGATTACTTCCAGGAAGAAGTGAACCAAAGGTTTACCTTAAGGTGCCTTTGATAACAAGTATAAAGACTGAGAGTGAATCGCACCTAAAGTGGCAACAGCTATGAAAATCAGAGAACCATGGCCAATCACGTGAAATGATGAAAGACGCTGGCGTGTTCAAAGATGCTGATTTTTTTACGTACTAGTGGGTATGGTTTGCTTACAAATGGTAATTTATCGGCTGTTCAGAGGCTGAGATTTGTTCCAAAATGAACATAAAGGTGAAAGTTTTTATATGTATGAATGTAAAAATTCCTGAGTACACACCCTGTATTTACCCTACATCAGGGAGTCTACCCTTATTTGTTGCAGCCGTTCAACTTTCACTGAAAAGTTATTAACCACTGGTAGGAACCTAGTTCAGTTTCAGGATGAATAGTCGAGCATAAAACTTCTCTGCATCCTACGCTTCCGCAAACGGAATATTCCTCGTCTAAATAGCAACCTGTTTCGTCGCGCTCATGCACACATGTCTCCTTATAAAAAATACCGGTCCCGGAGGCACTTCCTCAGGTTCTTTTTTATTCCATCTAATCTCAGTTTTTCAGTGAAATTCTTTCTGCTTTTCTTCGTTTAACGTTGATGAAGAAGTCTGTTGTAAATGTTTGGATCAGCAGCGGGAAAGCGTTGCATCTACGGAACATTAGGTGGAGGTCCTTTAACGAAAGTAGTTATAAGTATTGAGTACTCAAGGTGCAGAAGATATATACGCTGTAATCATCATAGAGTTTCCTAAATATAACTACAGAGGTCTTCGGCGCTGCGATCGTTCAGCCACCATGGAAATGATAGGTAGTACACAGATTGGCCTATTTGTCGAGCTTGCGTGCTTCCAGTGCCCTTGAGGATTTGTATGATTGCTGTTTTTTTTTGGCTTACAATAGCAATTGTTTGCTGTCGGAAGCACTCAGCGTTCAAGCTCGCATATACAATAGGGCCAGAGTTCTCCTAGCATAGTCATAGGATATTCTACGTTCATCGCTAGCCCCAATTATTCCAATAACTATAGAACTTGAAACAGTAGTATGCCTCACTTTTGATACTGTATGTCACGTGCACGCCTTCCTGCAGGTGCTCTGGGCTCCTAGATAACCTTGCAATAAACACTCCGGTAGACAATCCTGAGTATCTTTCGGGCACAAGAGGCTGCGAGATAATGTTGCTTTTTTACGGCAGCCTTGAAGATAAGAAAAAGAGAGTGGGTGCAGACTGTTTTGTCAAATATTTCTATGTTCTTATGTGTTTGCCCGCGTTAGAAACGGTCATCTGTGAATAGCGTCTTTGTTTTTCAACGGAAAGCCAGATAACTGTGACGAGACCTCTGGTTGAGTAGCAAGCCAGTGACGCGAAGAGAGGCTGCAGCAGCGGACCGCGTTGGTTTACTCACAGGCTTCGCTCTCTACAGAAGTTTCGCGATGATTTCGCACACGCAAAGTACACTTCGACGTTTGACTTGGGGGTAAATAATCTGGCAACAGCGATAAGAGGCACGGGTGTCTGTCATCTCTGAAAGGCTCCTCAACCATTCTACCTCCGGTAAGCGTCATTCTATGGTCAGCGTGTCTGACTTGAAAGCGAGAATAATCTTTGCCTTACCCTAATCATCTGTCCAAAATAAACCTCTTCAAATTGTGGTCATACCCTGAATTTCTCAACAAGCAAGAGAAATCACGGCTGGACCCAAATACTGCAACGTTTTCCTGCTATCCAATTCTTTTGAAAAGGCTATCGGCATTTTCGACATAAAATTGCTTAAGCAAACAGATGTGAGATCGAAAGGTTTAGTCTTATGTAGTGGACACTGACTGCGTGGCGAGGTTCTGAAGAGGAGCCACAGGGGCAATTTCTGTCGCAAGCCAACTGAGAGGCGAGAGTGTTCATAAGGCCTGTCAGCATGGCCTTGGAGACGTCAGAATTCTATCGATAGGGGTTTTTCTATTTCACAAATATCCTCGGGCTTTGCAGACCACAGCGTAACACGGTGACGCTGCAGGCTAACAAGTCACCTTGCAGTAAATATTAACTTAATGTACGTAAATATACATGCCGATATTCAACCACAATGTATGCTGCCGGTCGAGGTCATGATCCTTATTGCAGAGCTTCTTACTACTTCTTTACGTTAAGCCAGTGGCTGCAACGAAACGTTCAATGCTTAGTAACCTACTGTTCAATCAGTCATAATAACGTTTCGCAAGACATTTAGAAGGTTTTTCCAAACTCTGCCAGCTTCGCAATTGTCATAACAAGCCTTACGTGCAAATGTGTGTAGCCTCACTTTTTTCACAAAATATATTTTTTCTAATGGTTATGCTTTCACCTCACTTTGTCATCGATTTCTTTGTAGCTACGTCTCTTTGTATTTACTTCTTATCTGCTTTTTTTGCTATGTCTTTCTGCTTCTTTGCATTTCCCTAATATGTCTTTCTCCTTCTGTCTGTTTCTTACTGTCCGTATTTTTTAATCCTTTTGCCATCAACTTCTATACTTTGTTTCTAGTTCTGTTTAACTCTTTGATTTTATACTCTTGCATATCTTCTTTTTCTTTTATTTACTTCTTTTGAGTTTTTAATCTTTTTTGTGCTGTTTTATCTCTATGCTTTTAAAATTTCATATCTTTACTTCATTTATTTCCCTCTTATTTTAACTGCTTTTTTTCAAGTCTTTTCCTGTATATTGTCCTTTTCTGTCAAAATTTACGTGTATTTTTTTCTCTCGGACTTTTATTGTGTTCATCTTGACTTGACACTGCTACTTGCTGTACACATTAGTGTGGGTTGACTGTAACACACACCTGTGGAGCGTACCCGCCTAAGCAGTTTTGCTGGAGAGAACACAAGTTACTCACTGCTTAAACAGCTCAGGTGTTAAAAGCCTCCTTTCTCCCAACGATGTCGTAACTAGCTCAATAAATTGACATAATTCATTTATACTGAGCACAGTAATGTGGTTGATCACCTTTCTAAATTCTAACAGCGCAAGTTCTTCCCAAGCAAAACTAAAAGCGTCTCTCTCTTCTCCGTGCACACATCTTTGACTAAAGGGCGAGAGAGGTTCAGGGCCTTCCTATAAGCATAGCACCCTTCCTCTTACCTGTAATGCGTTACAAAAATAAGACCGACCCCCCATCATTTGAAAATTACTACTTATTTACTGGCTTTACCTCATGAGGGCGACTAGCAAAGTCAAGGGAAATCCCTACCTTCAAAAAGCTATCATGATATGCCAGCCTTTGCTTTTAACTCGATAGCGCAAGAGTTCGTTTCGCGAAAATTCACCAATGTCGGCGTCATTGGTTATGAACGAAAAAATACCATCTTGTCCGAGACAAAAAAAATGCAAAGATGCAAATAAAGTAAAAAATACTGAAAATTTTTGCTCCTGTATGGAGATATTACCCAGGCCGCCTCATGGCCAAAAGGTGCTATCGTCATGTAGTAACAGGAGTGCTTTAACGCGTCATATGTTGCCGGGCAGAAGTGTGAAATTTAGGCAGGCGTCAAAAGGTGTGAAGTTGAATGAATGGGTGTTTTAAAGGCCAACACATTACAAAGCCCTTCCACCACCTTGCAGGTTCCCGCAGAAGTCAATTGCGAGCCCTAAGATCTTTTAAATCTTTATCAGCAGCAAAAACATCCTTCAAGTGAATAGCTGCACAGGTTTGCATATTTTCTTATAAAAACGTGTAGCAGGCTCTTCGCTGATTCGCGAAAGGATTTTTTACGGTGTAGTGGAGACTATACATATGTGCTCACAATATGCAATAAATAAAACTTTGAAACGGCCAGTGTTGAGGGCAGATTCGTTTCTTTCATCATGACCCAGTTGAGGAATGAAGCGAGAACCGAAGCAAGCTGGCAGTTAAGAAGCGATGCGGACCAGCCTCGATTATACTCTATCGCAATGCATTCTGGAAGGTGAAGCTCCAGTTTACTGCAGTTTTTTCTCTCCTTTTTGCGTATATATCTGGCACAGGAAATCTTGAAGCGAAAGTGCCTTAACAAAACTATTTTTGCCTATTAGAAAAGTCCGATTTCTAATCCCGAAAAAGCCACTCTTACCACGATATGACACTCGGTATGTGAGAGAACGCGTTGCAAGAAAATGTGGGTGAAGAAGCCACCGCAAGATTCGCGCACCGCACACCTTGCCGTAATAAAATTTGAAGGCTTCGACCGGCTGCTGCATTGCTTATACTAGCTAAAAATGACATGCACTGCCAAGTGTGGGTGCCTTAGACCTAGCACATGAAGTTCACATGAAGTTTCGAAACATTTTGTCGAGCCAATATTGCGAAAAGTTGAATATTGCGTTTAGCAATTCGCTACGTCGTGCGGGGAGACTTTGGCATGAAATCTAAGAGTGAAATTTCACCCTTTACTTTCTCCGTAAATAATGAACAACGACAGTGAAGCTTGCGGCTTTAGAATTCTCAAAGTCCAATTTATAATCTAAATCAAATGATTGTTTCTCTCTAGTGTCTCTTTAAGATTGCGTAGTGGCCATAGGTGCGCGCAGAATTTTCTTTTAGTGGTCAAAGGTTTGTCGCAGCACCCCTTTTTTTACGTCTATGTGTGGGGCTGACTTCACCCCCCCCCCCTCTTATATAACTTGGGAAGACGGCCGCTTCTCTAGCCACACCGCTCAATGCGCCCGCCTATGATGGTGGCTACACTTCATCAGCCTCTACAAATTGGAGCTATTGGATGAGTTGCCATTATTGTAAAGAAACAGTACACCGCACATGTGCAAGCGAAATTGGTCAAGCTATCGAAATCAGTTGAGGTCGTTGAAGGGCGCGTATGATGGAAAAAAAGTATTTTCTTGAAGGAGACCCTTTGCTAAATGAATATACGTCACCCGAAGCAGCATTGTCGAGAAGCACTCTCAATATTATTCCTGTAATACCACGTCGCATTTGATTTCCTGCAAACGGGGTAACCTTAGATGATCACTTTACTTTTTGGCAGCAGCCGCCTCTGGTGAATGGACCTACCTCACTTACTAGCTCCCTTGTCTTGTATGGTCAATTTTCCAGGTATCTGTAAAGTTTGTAATGAGAAGACAATTAGGCATGTCAATCGATGAATTGCAAGCCCATCTACAGACTCACTGCACTCAATATGTACATGCTATGACAATGTTTATCGCTCCCAAGTACTGCCTATTTCGTTGAGAAAAAGCCGCTGTTTATAATAAATACTATTGCTGTCACCCATAGAGTCCCGCAACATCAGGTTGAGGGTCCTTCGAAGTATGGTAACTTTACTTTGGCATCTAGAGCATTATTGAACATGCATCCTGACGCAAAAGTGGTATCAGAAATGCCTGTGTCGCTACACGTGCGCACTCTAGTGCCCTGTTGCTAACTGGCAGGTCAGAGTACGGCTGTCACTTTTGTGTTTCTGTTTATTGCCCCCGACCAAGAGATAAGTTTGCTTTTCACATGAAGCTCGGCCGGATAAGCTGAATATGTATGGGGTGAGGGAGGGGGGGCTGCAAACGTTGCTTTAAAACTTATACTCGTCGTGACCGTGTGAATGTGATTCTCATTATAGGAAAACAGCCTTTTATTCCGTGAAACGCAAAGTGAACGACGACACATGTTGTTTAAAGATGTTGTGCCGAGAAGCACACATGTGTTTGGAAAGCATTACAGCTGTCTTTTTGTTTTTTTATTGTCTCAGACCTAACATCCTTTTATTGCACAATGGTGTTCAGGCTTTACATACATCATGAAGTGCATGCACCCTAGCTTGTGAAGAAGTATCGGATAACATAAAAGCTGTCTCAAGCTGCTATGTGTCATCTCTGAATGTATCACAAAATTATTTCGCTTTTGGCTGGGGACCTTTGCGCTTCATTAAAGTTTCTCGTATTTTATTTCGTAAAATATATCTGCTCACAAAGTGAATCACGTATACTGCTATTTTTCAAGATCGTAGGTTACGGCGCTTGGTACACGATGCTGGCATGTGACGATTGCTGAAGAATAAGGTAGCGCAAAAACCGCTCTAAATCTCTGAACCCTTGTGCCCACCTGCCACGGTATATTATTATGAGTATAGAGGACGGTGTGGAAAGCATTAGTCAAAATATGCCGTAACATTTGTACGATAAAGTTTACCAATTGACAAGTTTGTGATCTATCCTAAAAGTTAGAGAAGTACTCATAACTTCTTGTGCAGTCACCATGGACAATAGCTCACGCTATCTGATGTCATAGCTGTTCTGTAATGTCTCTCGTGGCGTTCCACAAGGCGGGGTTCTCAGCCCTACGCTGTTTAACTTCACGATCATTGGCCTTGTACAAAGTCTACCTCGATCAGTCAATATCTCTACATACGCTGATGATATATGTATCTGGTCTTCAGCAGTGACACGGTTCCAGGTACGTGCACGACTCCAGAAAGCACCGAGAATAACGTCGACATACCTCCATGCTCGAGGCCTCACAATTTCCACCGAGAAGTGCGCCTTAGTGCCTTTTACTTGCAAGCCCATGATCTGTTATCCTGTTTCTAGCGACAACGTGA